TTAAGGGCTAGCAAGATTGTTTGTTGGCGTGTACTCTCAAAGCTAAAGGCAACACCATATCTAATAAAAGTGTTTGCAATTTAGTAAGTAAATGAACTATTTACACTCTAAGAGAAGAAGGATGACTCTACTTTCTCAATACTGAGTTGATAAGAATACTAGATTTGGATTACCCTTGAAGAGGGTGTTCTCTTTAATTAAGGTAGGCCTTCGATGTTTTTTTTTTATCAATGTGAGCAAAACTACTCTATGTCCTTACCGGGCTCACAAACCTCTTTATCTTTCTTGAGCTCACAATCCAAGTTGGCTAATGAAGTCCTTTTTAGAGTTCAATGGAAGACCTTTAACTTGATACATTTATCTTATTAAAGTATTGATTAATAATCACTGTCAAAAAATTAACATCAAAACTAAATATGTTACATGCGAAGGAATTACATTTTTTTTTTTTTTTTTTTTAAAGTAACTGAGGTATCCAAACCTATATAGAAGTCTACTTAATTATCAAGGTCACGAAGTACTTTACAAGCTCGATGGATCAAAGTGATTGCACGAATGTAGTGAGTAACTCTCTTGTGACTCGAACACAAGATTTCATAGATATAGTTAACTATAATGGCTAAAGAGTTTGTCATCCGATCATAAGAGGAGAGATGAAGAAAATTTTATGTCGCATCAATCTTATATACTATTGTTATGTTAGGTTGGTTTGAAGTTCAAGGTTTACATAAATGAAATAAGAAATAAAAAAAAAGGTTGTCTCGTGATTCATGAGACTCACTAAACCTAGCTAGCTTAACACCAAGGAGAGGATGAGGTCCGTGAGGAGGCGTTGTTGTCTCTTACTATGAAAACAAAAGGCTTAAGTGGGAAATTAATATAAACGAGTTAAAGAATAATGATACAATCTGCATACTGTCAGAAACACCTAGGTGTCAAATGTTATATTATATGAAGGGAATACTGACATTTAGAGCATTGGCTGTCTTTCCCAACCAAACCTGTTCGTTGTTACTAACAAATATTAAATATATATATTAAAGAATTAATATAATATAAGAAGCTACATGAAAATCACTCCTGCACCACTACAACTGGTTAACTCTCCTCTTAAGCAATTAATTACGTTTGCATAATGTTCTCTTTTATTTAAGAGCATAGATTTCTAGCATGACTCGTTAAAAGATACGATATTATTAATATTTAAAAAGATACGATATTATTAATATTTAAACTACTAAATATCTTGAATATCTATTTATTTTAATCTTGTAAATTTTTCATTAATTTGTTAATTGAATGTGCTTGAATGAATTAGACACAACCCCATTACCTTATATATATTAATCACAATGTAAATAGGAGGAAAGAGTTAAATTCAAGTAAAACCTATTGTTGTGCCTAATTTCCTAGCCGTTAGATTTGCACCATATGTCTTTAAGGTATATTAAAGCCTGACGGCCAGGATCATCTTATGTGTTGTCTCATTAACATTTATCTTCTCTCATAAGGTGATTACTGTCATATGAGTTAGGCTGCTATTAGCGTGGTTCAGTCTACACAAGTATGAAGATTATTGACCTAAATCCTGATTAAGGGGATTATGTGTGCAAGTAATCCCGTAATACTCACTTTCAATCACTGTTAGATGAACGAAGTATAAAAGGAGCTCATAACCTCCATTTCAAGGGACGATTCCAGTTTTAATAAAGTTCAAGAGGAAAATACACTTATCCTGTAAGAGAGTGCTTAAAAAGAGAAGGTCACGGAAGCTTAATGTCTTCCATTTAGCTTGTGCACACTTCTATTTTTATCAACCTTGCTGGTTACCAGTAATCACGTGCATATCTTATTTGGCCCTTTCCAAAGTCGATTAAGTATCTCTGGTTGGTACGAATTTTCACATCATCATGTATCAAACTTTTAGAGCGAGAATTGATGGCGATCATATGGTTATTTTATCTTGTATTTTAATTTTAATTTACCCATTTCCTCATGTATTTCTTCAATTTTGAGGTGAAACAGAAACTAGCTTTTCTTCCTTTTCCCTTTCTTTTACAATAATAGTTGAAAGCACTTATTATTTCCAACATGTGAAGAATAGAATACTAACGTCATACTTATAATGGCATAATAATAATAATATAAAAAAGTAGTTCACAATGACTTGCTCTCCATTTTGTCAAACCAAAACCATAAACTAAAACATAGTGGAGGAGTAGTAGTAGAAGAGTTAAGGAAACGACAATACCATAGGAAGCAACGAATAACCAAATGAGGAAAATTAAACAAGTCATCTTAAATTAATTATTGAAACTCAATTCAACACACCAACCAAATCAACAAATATAATACAAAATGAGAGAATATCATATAATATCCCCAAGGTTTCCAAATGTGTCACATGGATACCTCTTTGCCCTTACTTTGTTTCGTCATTGTTAGGTTTCAAAAAACTTTCTTAAATGACCAAAATTATCATTTTATCCCAAAACTTTTTTGTAAAATTAAAGTTATCATTCCACTCATCTACCACAAACCATAACATAATAGAGTTAGGATAGAGGGGTGTTCAATACATATGTCAAACTTTGAGAGCCCATTTAATAAAAATACGAAACTTATCATCTAAACAATATATCTGAAAACCTTGAAGGTGGTTTATGATATTGTCTTCATAGAAAATATATAGTAGTAGAGTTTTGGATGCTTTACTTTGAGTGAGTAACTATTAATTGTGTGATGCAGGCTGGCGTCTGCCATTACGTGCCCTTCACAATCCTCCTTTTCAATAATTCTTTACGTCAAGAATCTTCTAATTTTCACAACACACACTCCTCTTCTCTTCTCTTTCTCTTTCTCTATATTCACTTCACACCCACACACTCTCCCTTCAATCATTGTTATTAGAAATCCTCTTTCTAAGGCCACCGCCCTTCGTTTTATTTATCTCTTTGTTATTAAAAGTTTGCTTGTTGCTTAATTAGTTTGAGTGTGCATGTCTTGTTTCTTGGAATATTCAAGTTAATTTTGTGCATTTTGACAAAACGACACCCAAACTTGGAAAACGAATGTTCTTTCCAACCAACTTATATTTTGTTTTTATTTAATTCTCGTGTTTCAATTTTAGTTGGTGCCAAATAGGAGAGCAAGGTATCTCTTCGCTGAAAATAACTTAATTTCCATAGGAAAGGTATAATGTCTTCAAATGGTAAATTAAATATAAAAATGTAGCATGAAATAAAATTAAACAATACGTTATACCAGTTTGCTTACACCTCAACTAATTCCCCATAGACCTAGAACTATCGATCGAGTAAGAGAAAAAATTGTATCCCCTATTAATGCATAAGAAAACTCTAATTAAGGAACTAATAAAACCTCATTTTACTCTTTTACCATCAGATCAATCAATAGTGATTGTTGTTATGCTATATCAATTTGGAAAAGATACTTTTCATTTATATTATTATGTCTGACGATTTCCTGGATCTCTAAAAACAATTAATAAATATTTGAAGTTTACAAATCCAAAGAAGGGTTATCTTAATTATTTTCTCCTCCAATAAATAGTATGGAGAAAATGGGTTATTAATGATGTTGCAGTTATGAAAGAAGGTAAGGTTAGAGTAAATGCAGAATAAATAAAAGACTAATTAGAGAGGTCAGGTAATTTTTAAAGAGTTAAAAGTTTTATTTAAATAGGATACTAATTGTAATTAAACAGGTTGGCAGTTATGTATGAAAAATAGTACAAAAATAAACTACATTAATTTATGTAATTAATTAAAAACGGATGAGCTGTTTTATAAATTTAGTATGAGATGTTAGTTTGTTAATTAATTATTTCACACCATGAGGGAGGACACAAGAATAAGCATAAACTGACTGACTTCTTCTCCATTATCTTCAAAAACTCCATAATTTCTGCTGCATCTATCCTTATACATAATTACTCAATCATGTTACATGCATATCGTGTCATATTGTTAATTAAAAGTCAATTAATTATTTCATTAGACAATGGAGCATGCCACTTCACATTGCACCATTTTATTATTTTTTGGTCTCCAAAATTGGATGCATGCATGCTTATAAACCAAGTCCATATAAACCTAATTAAAACCCATAAAGGGTGGATACCTTTTTAATTAATTGACTTAATTTGTCTAGGGTTAGGATAACGGTTCATTTTTAGTACTAATCCTGAAGGATATTGAGTTGACATTTAAGGTAGTTATCTTTAACCTTTCTACTATTATCATTGCGATTAAGAGATATGAATGGTTTATATCGAGTGTCAAAAAATTAGGTAAAAAATTTAAGTTATAGTATCTTAGCTTCTTTATTTGTAATCCACAAGGCTCATTGAATACCCTACAAGCTTAATGTTCCTAGTAAACCACAAATGTAATAAATGGTCCTAAGGTAGTTTGAACCAGAAAGTCAATAAAGAGATCAAACTTTCTTGATTATTAGACCAACTTAGAGAGGTAGGTTAAGGTTTAGCTCTGCCAACTCTTAATGATTGGGTAAAGTATAAATATAAAAAAATAAAATAAAAAGAATATTAATGAAATAATTGGATCATTAAGGCGGCGTGATTATTGGGTATTTGGCAAATCTGAGTACAAATGTGTGAACTGGGTGGGTCAACTACACATGAAGTGTTTGATAAAATGAATAAATATAGTCTAAATTAAGAATCACAAGGGGAGGGAAGTCACAAACTTAACTTAAACTGGGTTATTATATTATTTAAAGGGTTATTCAGTTAACCAACCAACCAGAAGTGTAACAGAAGAGGCAAATAAAAATAAATAAAGGTAAAAACAGAAAATTGATGAGAAAAAAAAGGCAAATTATGTGGTTCCAGGCTTGCAAACCAATCCTCCATAAAGGAATCGTTGGCAAAAAGTAATGGGTTTGCTTCAAAGCCAACCGAATCTCACTCGTTTCCTCGCCTCCTCATACTTACATTGCATCTTCTCTCTCCCTTTCTCACTTCAAACACCTGTAACTTTTTCCTATATATACCTTTCTATAACTTCCAACCTTGGAAAAGCAAGACTGGCAATACCAAATTCCACCGTTACTACTCTTCTTCTCATTTTCTCTTTGACTCTCTTCTCTTTCTCTTAACCACCCAACTGCTTTTATATTTACATTCATTCATACATACAATTTCCCAGCTCGCTCCTCATGGAAGCTCAGGATGAAGCTATGGCACTTGTTATCAAAGGGAAACGCACAAAGCGTCCACGGACTCAGTCTCCACTTACCTTCCCTATCGTTTCTACTTCTTCTAGTGCCGTTGAAAGTGGGATTGAAGGTGAAAGGTTTAGTGACAATTCTTGTCCTACTACGTCTCTTGAATTCACCACAACTAGTACTGAAGAGGAAGAGGACATGGCGAATTGTTTAATTCTTTTAGCTCAAGGTCGAAACTTTAACAAGAAACTTTATTCGGATCATCAGCAGCCGGTTGAGAATTACCAGTGCAAGACGTGTAATCGGTGCTTTCCTTCGTTTCAGGCGTTGGGTGGACACAGAGCGAGTCACAAGAAACCAAAAGTTGTTAATAACGTTAATGAAGAGAAGAAAAGTTTGTTGGTAATTGAAGAAGATGACGATCATTTCAGCCATATGAGCACTACCCTTTCTCTGCAAATATCAAATAGGGCTTCTTTGTGTGCGACCAATAAAGTTAAGGCTAATAAAGTTCATGAATGTTCGATTTGTGGCGCTGAGTTCTCGTCGGGGCAGGCCTTGGGCGGCCACATGAGGCGACACAGAGCGTTTATAAGCAACAATACGACGACGTCAACAGCTTTGAGTATCGGAACAGGTAGTGATCATCATCATCATCATTCAACAGAAGCCAAGAAAACAAGAAACTTGTTGCAATTAGATCTTAATCTTCCGGCACCGGAAGATGACCGCCGGGAATCGAAATTCAGCTTCGCTTCGAAAGAGCAAGTTATTGTGTTCTCAGCTTCTTCTTTGGTTGATTGCCATTACTAAACTGATGCAACAACCTTTACTTTTTTTTTTTTCTTTTGATGAATTTGTGTTACAAAGGAAATGTGAAATATTAACATTGTTAAATTCTCTATAATGTAAGTGATAATTGTTGATTCTTTGAATTCTTTAAAATTGATGGAAATGGAATTAAATTGTTTATTGGATGATTTATTAATTGGTGGATTAGGTTGTGTGGGTGAGTTGAGTTGAGTTGTTTGGTTTGCAAGAAAGCTATAGGTAAAGGAAGAGGAAGGGTGAATGTGAGTCAGTTGCATTAAAAAAAAAAAAAAAAAAAAAAAGACAAAAATTTAAACGGATGGAAGGAAGCAAAGCAGAAAAGAACAGAACCTAACGCATGCCCTCTTTTAAGGATCCAACTTTACACTCTACACACACACACCCCACCTTTAAACCATCCGTTATACTCTCCCAAGTAACCCACTCAACTATCAATCAATCTAATTTTATCCTTTTCACAACATTTTTTTTTTTAATTTTATTTGTAGCCAAATCATACTTTATAAAATCATTACTGCTACTACACATATAAAGTTAGTGTTCAAGTGATGAGACAATTTACGTATCAGCACTATATTAATTACGAGAAAGTTACACACTTAATTCAGTAGTGTGTTGACAATACATCCACCGCATAATTCGGATATAAAGTTAAATCTCAACTTATAGTAGCATTATTATTATAAGGTATATCTTGAAAAGAAAAAAGTCCATCTATCAATAAAAAGTATAAAAACATGTATGTTTATTAATAGAGAAGTATAACTCTTCTCTTGTGGTCGAATGACAAACCTTTAGTCATTGAGGTTAGATATATTCAAGAGATTTTGTGTTCAAGTCCCATAGGAGAGATATCTATCAGATTTGTGCAAATACCTTGGTCCATTAGATTGTACGGTATTCTGGAGCCCTAAGGATTAGGCAAACTCTAATTTGGCCTAGATACCTCAATTACTGAAAAAAAAAAAGTATATTTTAAATGACAAAATATTTGTTGCTTAATACAAATGAAATTTGTGTCATGTTGTTTTAATTTTTTAAGTAAGATATCTTTGAAGTGATACTACCATATTAATAGAATCATATTATCCTTTTATTTACTTATTGGTGTAGCAATTATTAATTAGTTGTGATTAAGAAGTGGAAAACATGTTAATATGTTTACCAATTTCATAATTAATCACCACTAGGTGACCTAATGGTAAAAGAGCAAAATAAGATTCCATGGGCTCTTAAGTTCGAGTCTCTCTAAGCACTAATAAGGGTGGCTATTAGGGCTCCTATCCAGTCGACAATTCCAAGGCCTCGGGGAATTATTAAGGTTTGCACAAGCTGACCTGACACCCTGTGAAAAAAAAAAAAAATGTTAATATGTATGCATGAGATGGAGAAGTGTTGTGATAGAATAAAAAACAAAAGCTTGCATAAGATATAGAAAAATGAACCTAGTTTTTGGTTTTGTCTTCTCTAACTAGAAAGCAAGTAGGCACAGTATTATTATGTTATGGGCACATGCAACCACCTTTACATGTGACGATGACTTTGCGTGAGACACATTCAATTAATTGCATCACTTGTTATTAGAATTTGGGTTATTTATTTTTGACAGGTTTAATCAAATGATAAAGTTTTTTCTTTATTTTAGAAATAATATATTTTCATTTATAGTTACTAAACAACTGAATTTACCTTATGATAAGATAATTTTACCTAATTAATTCTTTGTCTTTTAATTTAAGGAAAAAAAAATAACGATAGGGAGAATTTTCAGTTACTATATATAACAATATTGAGATTTTTGTTATTTAATTACATCAAAGGAGATTAATTAACTTAGAATATAGAACAATCTTTTACATTACCACCACATGCATCTTCCTTTGATTTACATTATCTTAAATTATTAATAATGAATTAAGGGTATCCTTGTGGCTAGATGGAGTGAAGGATGAATTGAGGAGTTAAAAGACGAAGGGATTTTGGGTTCAAGTTGTAGCAAGGCGTTACCCAAAAAAGCAAAGGTATTTTAAATTATAAGGTCTTATTAATGGAACTTTTAATCTATACTTTAACAGACGTGGGATTTTAGTTATCATATTTAGTGGATCTAATCTATAAAAGGAGAAAGAGAAAATAAAAAATAAAAATAAAAAGAGAGAGAAAGAATAAAAATAGAATAGTATGTTCCTTTATGATTGTGATGACTTTGGTAACATATGGTTTTGCAGTTATTTTAGGTTGTTCCCACACGTACTCGCATCATTGTAGCTAAAACCTCCTTCTCCTTCCCATGTTCTTTTGTTGTCTTCTATACCTATGGGGCCATTACAAATAAAGGTCCAATTGTTAATAAATTTTTATAAAATAAAAATTTATTTATTTCAAAAAACTAATGAATTGATTTATTTCAAACATCCAACTTTTTATAAATTAAATATGAGTAAAAGACTTTTTCCCACCCAAGGTTTGGATGATCTGCTGTTTCCACCCCTGGTTTCATTAATTGCAAATATGTACCTTTAAATTAACAGCATTACTGACGTTTGGCTTCTGACACAGGTGCAAAGGGTCTAATTACCAAATTACCCTTGAGCTTTTGACTTTTCATTATTTGATAATAAAATATTGAATGAACATGTGAAAAACCAAGAATGCCCCCATAATTATTTTTATGTACCCATAATGACCTTGCATGAAAAATAACTAAATTAAGTGAAAATATCATAATGTCCCTATCTTTTTGAAAGTTCGTTTTTTAAATGAATGTGTAAGAGTACTGTATAACGGTAAGTGTTCAAAAATTTCAACTTCTTCTCCATTACTACTTCTCCATTACTTCTTCTCCTTTACTTCTTCTCCATTACTATTCCTACATTACTTCTTCTCCATTACCGCCAAAAACACATCCAGGACACACCCAATACAACCTCCACAAACACATCTAGGACACACTCAATACAACCTCCACAAACATATCCTGTGCACACCCAATACAACCTCCATAAACACACATTCTGTGCACACCCAATACAACCTCCACAAACACATCCTGGACACACCCAACCTTCGTATACACATCAGACACCCCCAAACACATATTGTCTAAATTTTGCAAAAATCATGAGAATAAAAAAATTACAGCACCTAGAACTCATATGGTATAATCAAAATCAATAAACACATCACATTAAAAAGTAATAATCCATAGTTAAGTACTCCATACAAATATATTAAGCCATATACAGGCCAGTAATAATGCAGATTACATAAAAAAAAAAAAAAAAAAAACCCTCTGCAACAATGACAACCTTTACAAAAACAATATAAAAAACCATTTTTATCAACTGCACATCAAAAAAACCTACACATTTCTATCAACTACTGCACATTTCTATCTACAAAGGCTGCACATTTGTACAAGTTGCTGCNATTAGATTAAATCTTTAGCGCTTGTCTAGGGTTGTTTAATGGTAAGATTAATTAAGATCACTTGTTTCCTAATTAATTACAATTAAGGAGAGATAGGAAAATAGTTCCAACGGTGAATATTCAAAGCAAGAATTGATTTATTTTTGCATCAATGATCAGTTGTAAGATTCCGATGGTGGATGTTGACAAAGACCAAGTTTCGTTATATTAATTGATTTCGATTCGAATTGTTTTTGTTTTTGTTTTTGCTAAGATTGTTTTCTGTTTTACTCAAAACCCCCCAGCCTTATTCACATCATTGAAAATTCGGCTAGACGCTCTTCGTGGGATCAACCATTGCTTACCCTATTTACAGTTCAGTAGTTAGGTTAGGAAGGTTTTTAATATTGGTTGCCTACGACAGCACACCAACTGTATAACGGTAAGTGTTCAAAAATTTCAACTTCTTCTCCTTTACTTATTCTTCTCCATTATTACTCCTCTATTACTTCTTCTCCTTTACTTCTTCTCCATTACTACTCCTTCATTACTTCTTCTCCATTACCGCTAGAAAACACATCTAGGACACACCTAACTTCTTCTCCATTACCACCAAAAACACATCCAAGACACACCCAATACAACCTCCACAAACACACATCTTGTGCACACCCAATACAATCTCCACAAACACATCCTGGACACACCCAACCTCCGTATACACATCAGACACACCCAAACACATATTGTTTTGCAAAAATCATGAAGATAAAAAAATTGCAGCACCTGGAACTCATACGGTATAATCAAGATCAATAAACACATCACATTAAAAAGTAATAATCCATAATTAAGTACTTCATACAAATATATTAAGCCATATACAGGCCATTAATAATGCAAATTACATAATAAAAAAAAACCCTATTCAACAATGACAACCTTTACAAAAACAATCTAAAAAACCATTTCTATCAACTGCACATAAAAAAAACTTGCACATTTCTATCAACTGCTACACATTTCTATCTACAAAGGCTGCACATTTGTACAAGTTGCTACACTACATTCACCAAAAATTGCTATACCAAATTCAGCCAAAAACTGTTGCACCACATTCACCATAAAATCCTTCACATTTCAAGTCCCACGTGAGTTAATTTTGTGGACCAGTAGCTCCACTACCTATTACAATCATAAACCATGTATTAGAGCCCTAAAATTGTATAACAAATCATTTAACAAGAATTTGAAGCACAAATGTAATACTAACCTATTATCCTTCACTATTGCCAAACACTTGACTTGAACTTTCACCCGCTTGACTTGCTTGAGGGGATGAAGCTTGTCCTCTCTAAAAAAGGCAAACACACACACATAATAGCATATGAGAGTCCAAATCAGAAAAGTTGAATGTAATAATCAGAATTAAAAAAAAAAAAAAAAAAAAAAAAAAGCTTTAAATTACCTTTTGCTTGTTGCTATTGAGAGGATTTTGTTGGCAACTCCTCCTGTTATGTTCTAGAGTTTTACAAAACCTACACCTCAATGTTGTAGCTCTAGTTAGCCTTGATTCTTCATCAGCATCTTTCTTTCTAGCCTTTTTAGGTCTTCCAATCTTGCTATGCTTGATAGGTGGTACAACTTGGGACTCCCAACATCAGGCTAACTAAGTGGCTTAGGTATGGGGTGAATGTGAT